TTTGGTCGTCGGTCGCCCGCGCCGTTTCGTCCCCTTCGCAGCCTCCCTTTCTTTCTGCTCTTGAAGCAGCTTTTGCTTCTCTATTCTCCCAAGCTCACCCGACTTTGCCATTGACAGTCGCTTCTTCTCACGCTCCAAATGCACAATTCGCATCAACTCCTTGACACACCCACGACGCGGATCAACGTTGGGGGAATATCCCTTGCCGAAGTGCAGGTAGTCATAGTGGGTGGGGGTCTCATTGAGTATGTCCTCCTGAAACACATCGATAGAAAATTGGAACGGGGTTGGTTGGTACGCTACCATTTTTTCAAATGGTGGGAGAGCAAACTGCGTCGCCTCAAAGTCAATAAAAAACACCGGATACCGAATGCGAGAAAAGAAGTTCTCAATTTCCTTCGGGTTTAAAAACAACTTACCAGCAGCAACGGCCTTCACATGACGCAGCTGCGGTGCCGTTAGTTTCACAGTTCCCTTCTTATATTGATACAAGACATCGCGTGCGGTACGAAGCCCCTGCGTCCACCACATCGCCTTGCGTGAAATAGAAGTCGAGGGGAGGCTAAAAAGGTGGTTGTCACATTGCTTCAATGGATCTTCAATTCTGTTTGGCAGACACAAACCCTCCGCGTAAAAAGGGCATACATCACCGCGGGAACAATGGGCACCTATGAATTCCGAGTACGTTGGTACACAAGGCAATTCATTGCCGTTGCTACAACTTGAAGCTCCTCTTTGCTCCCCGTTCTTTTTATTCTTTTGACAAGAACTCTTCTTGCGGCCACCATTGCCCCCGGTTGAATTCTCGTCACTCACTCCCCCCTCGTCAAATGTGGCCTTCACAATTTCACCGTCGAGGTGTGCAAAGCTGGTCCATTTCGTCACGTTTGAAGCATCGCGACCCCTTTCAATCAGCCGCAATGTATGAGTATGAATGAGGGCTTCTAAAAGCTTTTGTTGCGCCGTGAACAGCTCCTTCAACTCTGTTTCTTTCTTCTTTGCAACTCGGCTAGAGGTGCTACTGCCGAGGTGCCGATGATCCAGCCCTCTTTTCTGTAATTTCTCCACCTCTTTTTGCAAATCCGTCACAAGCGGTTCCGCACGTAGACTGACGTTACTTAGATCAAAGGCTCCAGATGTTCTATGATTGGAATTCGTGTCCGCCTCCAACATGTCCTCCAATGAAAGCCGCTGCACATACTTCACGAGACGTGAGGGATCGCAGTCCATGATTGTCACGGGTCCCGGAAAAAACTGTCGAATGTGCAGGAATCCACTACGTTTTAAATCAAGTGGAACTGCCACTTGCGCCGTTGACTCCAGACGGTGACCCTTAAGACTTTCCTCTGTAACCGTGTCAAGGTCAATGTTGAGAAAACGCTTGCGTATTTGTATTGGTATGTGCGTCTGGGTTACCCAATACCGAAAGGCGAGCGTTGTAAAATGCAGACGCTGAAGGCACTGCGCAAGGCGTGTGGCATTCCCAAATGGGTCAATCACAGCGGCCGTCTCCAGAATAACCCATTGATTGTCTTTGGGGCGAAAACGCAGTACAGCCGGTCGTGCCTGAAGAACCAACGGGCTGGCTGCCGTTGATGATATTGTGTTTCCACCAAACGGCGCAGCAAAGGCAGGGCGGTGAATCGTTAGCGCCGGCGCTTGCTCGCCCAACTGTGCGTGCACAGTCTGGAAGTAGTTCACAAGAGCCTCCTCTGTTCGCTGCACCGCCAGGTCAAAGTCCCGCTCATGCACAACGACGGCCCGACTACCGAACTGGAGGCGATCCCACCTCCGCGCAAGTTCGTTAAACGCCGCTCCATCATCAAGGCGCACGGCCTCGCCAATGGATATGCTCGGTATCAAATCTCGACGGTTCTGCATTAAGTAAAATTTCTTGGGGCACGTCAACGAGGCGGAGAAGCCTCTGAAAGTAAGAACAGTGGGGGACGTCACGCGAGCCATCCGCATGCCCTGTTCCTTTGCAACGGTGCCCTCTATCGTCTCATCAAGATCCGAAAAGGGCTCCGCCGCATCTCTAAAGACTTGAATAATTTGCGTCAGGGTCTCGTCGGCCTCCGCCGCTTTACCAACTGCCCCCATGACGGAACGCCGCACCACTTCCGGGGCTTTCCTTCGGAACATGACGCTCGCCCCCGAAAACTACGTTGCAGGACGAAATAAAATAAAAGGAGAAACCACAAAAAGAGGAAAGTGTGGGAAAAGACAAAAAGAAAAGCACCAAAAGCAGAAAAGAAATGGAAAAAAAAATACAAAAATAACCCTCACACGCAGAGAATTGACACCCGCACGCACCGCGGCGGCCAGCGGTGATACCCTACTGCGTGGGAGACGACAGTACTAGACACGCTGGGAGCTGCTTTCGCCGTAAAGCGCAGCCACATGGCACGCAAAGAACAACAACAGAATACTTTTTTTTTTTTAAGGCGTCAAGAACTTTATTTTTAAAATAAAAAAAACGCACACGAAAAATAAAGCAAAAGAAATTGATCGTCAAATTCGTTCTTCACCACATCGTTTTGCTTCGGCTCTGCGTCTGCGGTGCGAAAAGAGGCGGCATCCCCCCCACAAACACACGCACACGCACCTCAGAGCCTCTCCACAAAAAAGGATTTTTACATACGGCATCATAGTGGGTAAATGGGCAGACGGAAATCACGTGTAAGTCAAAAAGAAAAACAAAAAAGGGTAGAATGCGGCAAAATCGCAAATCACCCGTAAGCCACGTAACCAAAAAAAAAACCCCGAATTTTTGTGATTACCTCCATCTCCAGGGAGACGACAAACTCAAACGGTTGCCTCGCTCCCATTACATATATATAACACGTAAATGGAAAGAGAATAAAGTGATGGTTGCAACGAACAAGTTTGGAAAAGCAAATGTTGACGCCTAGACTTTTCCCTTTTTTTTCTTTTCGTTTTTTCTTTTCGCATCAAAAAGGCCCACGTCCGCAAACACATGCAGCATTAATGCTTAAAGGGTTCCATCCATGTGGATTCAACAGACTCCGGCTAACGTCGACTGGAAAAAAAAATGAGAAAAGTGCAGACTATAAAAAGTAACAGTGGTAGGGCCACACGCAACCGCACAAAAACAAAATACGATGCTAAACGTCTTAGTAGAAAAAAAAACGTGTCCCCTTGTTGTTCCCGTATCATCTGCAGGTACCGTCGTTGGGGTGCAAGAAATGATCCTCCTCGACGTTCCTTCTCAATTCCTTCTGTATCCCTCCGGCGCACATCATCACCACTTTCACGATGCTGCAGGATAAAATTCGCCTGTGAGGCAATTGACCTTTTGAGTTCTTCTAGCCGTGCCTCCGTAGATTTCAGAAGTCTCGCCTTTGACTCAAGACGAGCAGCTTCTGTGGCCAAAGCCTCCTCGCGTTGCGCAATTTCAGATAACACAAATCTATCTCTGCTGCTGTCCCCTCCTCCTCCCTCTCCAAAAGGCACAAAAACAGATTTATTTGTCGTTTCTTGCATGACCTCTTCGTACCTACTGCGCCAGAGTTCGGCCTCTTCACGGCTCTTCTGCAGTGCCTCCTGAAGCCCCTGTACAAGGTGACGATTGTCCTCTGAAAGAGTCAACGATGTGAATGCCTCCTCCCGGATGCGAGCCTCCTCCTCCAGACTATGTACAAGTGCTTCTTGTGAACTCACCTCTCGTTGCAGACGTTCCACCTCAACGCTGAGCTGCTGTGACTGTTCCATTCGATTTGCCAGTTCCTTACTTAGCGCTGCCACCTTCTCAGCAAGGCGTTGCTCCGACCGCTCCTTCTCTGCCCTTGAAGCAGCAATGCGCTGGTTTGCCGTTTCGGCCTCATGTTGCGCCTGTCGCAGGAGTGCCTGCAGTGTCATGAGTTGCTCCTCGCGTTGGTAGACGTCTTCCATCAACCGCTGCAGTTCTGTTTCGTGCACTCCTTGAGCCTCTCGCAGCTTCTCAGCACACCTCTCCTCCAGGCTGCGCAGCTCCGAGCGTGCAGTCTCCAACTGTTGCCGATGTGCTGCATCGCTCCAATTGACCATATGCTGTGACGCAGATCTGCCGTCAGATGCATCTTTGTCTCTAACTGACTGACCCTCGTCATGGGTCATAATACTTAACAACTCCCTGTATTGTTCTCCCAACCGATCGAGGCTGGTTTTCGTCACTGTCGCCTCGTGTTCTGCCTGTGCAAGCGCCCTTTCTTTTTGCTCTATGATATCCCGAAGCTGTCGTAACTCCGCCTCACGTTGTTCCAAATCCGTCCTTGTGTTCGACACGTTTTCCCTCTGGCTGTTTTCACGCACACGTATGGCTGTCTCTTCCAAATCCCTTTTGTGCTCCTCCGCCATACGCCGTTTCTCCTCTCGAAGTTGTGTCATTTCTCGCTGCAAATTACTAATTTCCTCATCCTTCAAATTTGTCCGCTCACGAAACTCCTTGTCGAGCTGAACACGTAATGCCGACATCTCCTTCTCGTGATTTTTCCCTGCCTCCTTCAGCTCATCACGCAGCTGCTTATTTTTCTTTGCCGCCTCGCCTAGTTGAATGGCAACCGACTGCTTCCATGCGTTGGTCTTTTCCTGCAGCTGCCGGAGTTCCTCTTGGGCAGAGAGTCCATTGCTCTTGTCGGAAAGGGACGCCTTCCCTCCCTCCTCCACGCTCATGCACAGGCCCTCCTGTTGATACCCGCACTACACAAAGACACATGCACACACCAAGAAGAAAAGAAAAAGGGAAAGAGCGCAGACGTTTACGTGAGCGCTCAAAGGGATGGTGCATGTAATATAACAATGGCCAGAGTCAGACTTGGCAAAAGTTTAGCAAATATCCCCTTCTGCACGTGTTATTCGCACGGTGTGCGCCATCATTTTTTTATTTTTTATTTTTTATTTATTTATTTTTTTTTTGCTGTTTTTTATTCATTTCTTTACCGTCGCATTCCATCATCCCCTCATTTTCTCACATTCCAATTCGCACTCTTCGTCAGGGGAAAAAAATAGTCCTCTCCCATTCCTCTTCTCTCTGACTGGTGAGCAGCAAGAAATTTTCTGACAAAAAAAAAAAAGCAATATTTACAACGCCAGAGATAAGAAGCGATCAACTCCCTTTTTCAGACGGCCGAGGCGGCTTACAACTATCTGCTCCGGCACCTCAATGACAGCCACTGTATCTGCATGATGGCCCTGGACGAGTTCATTCACCTTTCGCTCAAGTGCCTCAATGCGCTGCAGAAGGCACGCTTCCTTTGCCTCCGACGCCTTCGACGCCGTGCTCAGTTCAAAGTACAGAGCAGCCGAGAGAATAGAATAAACCAGCAGCTCAATGAGAACCTCCGCCCCAATTTTTACAAGACGTTCCTCATCAATGGAAGGGGAGTATGCTGATCGGAATGCCCCCCACGCAGTCTGCATCGGGAGACGTAAAAAGAGCCGGCCAATTCGTTGCGTACCATCGGATCCACCCGGCGCTGCATTTTTCTGCAACAAGGAACGGGATCTCGGCGCCACCAAAAATCCTTCTTTGGCCTCGTTTTCCCTCGCATCTGAGCGCCCTGAGTTCGCCCATGACCCATCGCCGCGGCGGGTGGTGTCTTCTGAATTCCACTTTTCAATGACACAAGAGATCCCCAAAGAAAAACGACCAAGGCTGAGGCACAAGGCACGTGTGATGGTTGCCTCGCGCTTTGCCCGGGAGACAGTTGCCTTCACTACCGGTTTCGAAATTTGACGAATGGCAAGAAAAAAAAATCTAAAGGCGGGAAGCGGCGCCATTCCTCCTCTCCCCATTCCCCAGTTGTGGGCGGCCTACACACACGGTCAATGAGGTCGGTGCAAAGTGCACTGTTGCTTCCTTTGTTTTGTTGTTGTTGCTCCTTCACCCCGTTTCTCTCCCTCCCTCTCCCCCTCCACACACACACACACACACGAGCGGGTGTGCAGCCACCCTCCGTATTTACTTGCATTGCACCACCACCACCGTGGACGGCGTGCGCATGGGCACGGGGCAAAGCAACGGCACATGATGGAATAAAAGGGAGCAAGCACGCACGTGCCAAGGCGCAGAAAAAAAAAAAGAAAAAAAAAAGACAAAAAAAAAACATTCAACATGCACAAAATAAACTGAAAAAAAAAAGAAGGGAAACACACACACACACAAACAAACAGAAAAAAAAAAGAAAGAAAATTAATTTCATACATGGGGAGAGTCCGGACACAAAAGGTGCATAGGTAAAAAGAAGAAGAAAAAACAAAAAGATTTTTACTCTCAGAAGAAAAATGATCGGTGGCATAGATAAGGCACAAAGTGAATAAGAAGAAGAAAAAAGAAAAAAAAAGAGGCAAAACGATACAGACGCCGAAAGCCAAGAGACAAACACATAAACACCCAGGAACATTAATAATAATAATAATAATAATAATAATATCACAAGGAAGAAAGATATAAAAGAAATAAAAAAGAAAAACGCAGAGAACACCCGAACAGAAAAAAAAAAAAAAAAAAAAAAAAAAAAAAAAAAAAAAAAAAACCGCCACGCCAACGGCCTCCGCCAAAGGAGACAAATGTAAGTCCACTCGTTGAATGCATTACTCTCACTGTTTTCCCGTTCGCTTCTCCCTCCCACTCCTTTGCTCGGGGACCCTTATGCCACCATGCCCTCTCCCCCCTCAATCCTGCAGGACTGGCACAACCAACCACGGGGGGGAAAAAGGCGTTTGTGGGGGGAAAGAAAATAAAATAGACCCTCACTGAGAACAACGAAAGAAACGCACAACAACAACAATAAACAAACAAACAAAAATAGGCGTGCTGAAGTCTTCCACCGCATGAGCAGACCGCTCCTTTCATGCTCCTTCAATTGACGTCGGCTCTTCCTCCCTGGCTCCAGATTCATTCGGCTATATGGCTAACCCTCTCCCACCGTCTGCTTCGATTTTGGTCATTTTGATCGCTTGCACCCCCCTCTACCGTCCCTTCCTCCGCCTTTTCTCCATCCATACATCCGCCCTTCTCTCCATCCCCGTCCGCCCTCTAAACACCACACGCAAAAAGCAATGGCAGTGGAACAAAAAGTATTCTGCTGGGCCTTACAGTATCAAAGACCCTCCACAAACCCTCCTCGCCACACACATGCCGAATGCGCACGCAAAAAAAAAAAAATTTCTTTCTTATTTTTTTTTTTTTCTTTTTGGCTGGACGCGGAAGATTCAAAGAAGAAAAAATTGTGATATAATAATCCTGAATAAATAATAATAATAATAATAAATGAGAGTCAAATAAAAATAAAAAGGGATTTAGTTTGGCTGATTGTTTTTTTTTTCTTCTTTTTCTTTTTTTTTCCTTTTTCTTTTTCTTTGCCGTCGGTGTCTTTGTGTTTCTGTTCCTTTTTTTTTTTCTCTTTCTTTCTCCTTCCTTCTTTCTTCCCTTTTTTTATTTATTTATTTATTTTCCTTCGATTGCAGCTGCCATCTATATATCATAATAAGGCATACCGTATTCGTGTGCTGCCATCACGTACTGGCTGTCATCGCGTCCCATTTCCTCTTCCTTCCTTCTGCATGCATCCCCCTTTGTCTTTACTTTAGTTTCAGGCCCTCACAAAATTCCACTCATTTCTCTTCCTTTCAACGTGCACGCCAACATGCCCAACCCTCCTTATGATTCACAACAGGACGCGTCTTGCCTCATCACCTCCTCCTTTTTTTTGTCCTTTTCTTTTTGATTTTTACTTTTTCTTCTTCTTATTGTCCTTCACCCTACTCTGCACATCCTCTCGCTCTCTCTCTCTCTCTCTCACGCACTTCGTCCCGCCACCTTTGTCCCCTTTCGCCCCCCCACTCCTCTTTCATTCTTTTCTTCCTGTGTTTTAGTTGCGTATTTCCATGAATAAAGGAGAACATTTCTTTCATTTCCTTCCCTTTCCTTTCTTTTTTTTTTTTTCTTTTCTTCGTTGTCTCGTTGTTCGGTGGTCTTCTTCTGACCATCCTCTTTTTCGTGTTGCTTCCTTCTTTCTTGTTTGTTTGTTTGTTTTTTTGTTCTTTTTTGGTCTATTTGACTTTATTTTCGCTTTGTTTTCTCCGCTTATGCCATACTGTGTGGTGCGCTAACGCTAATTCTCCCACTCCTACGCGCCATTTCTCTCCCCTACTCGAGCTCCTCCATGGCAGTGCCGTCGTCATGTCCCTCCGGGTGAGCATCCTCCGTCCACAGTGCAAGGTTGTCGCGCAGCAGCTGCATGATGAGAGCGGCCTCCTTGTGCTGCTCCTCATCGAGCACGCTGGGGTCACTGAGAGCCTCCTCAAAGGCCTGCCGGGCCAACTGGCAGCCGCGGTCAGGACTCTTGAGGATCTCATAGTAGAAGACGGAGAAGTTGAGTGCGAGGCCAAGCCGAATTGGGCTCGTAGGCTTCAACGAGGAGTTGTACTGCATTGCCTGCGTGTACGCCTCAAGTGCCTTGTTCTTCTGCTCCTCCGTGTTTGTCTCAATCTCGGCGTAGTAGCGGTGGTAATCACCCTTCATCTTGAGGTAGTAAACCTTTGTCTCCTCTGTGCTTGCATTGGGTAAGAGGTGCTCTTCGATAAGTTCCAGTATGTCGGAGCAGACATCACTCAACTCCTTCTCAATCTGCCTCTTGAAGCCCTTGATGAGGGTGATATTCTTCTCCTTCTTGATGTCCTCCTTCTGCTCCAGTGCAGTAATGCTGCGCCAACAAGCACGGCGGGCCCCAATAACATTCTTGTACGCCACAGAGAGGAGGTTGCGCTCCTCCGAAGAGAGGACGGGGTTAAGTTTTACCACTCGCTTCATGCACACGAGAATCTCATCATAGCGCTCGCACTGCTCCGCAAGTTTCGCCATAATGATGAGCTGTTCGCGTTTCTCAGGCACGGTAAATGAAGACATTTGCCTCTTTTTTCCTTTGCTTGCACCCGCTTCTTATTTTCCGTTGCTTTCTTTTTTTTTTTTTTTCTTTTTTCGTATGCGTGATCTCTTGTATGCCTTCTTTTTTTATATATAAAAGAATAATGCCCTTTCACCTCTTCCAACACGCACCCGGACAGACGGACAGGAAGAGAAGGAGGAAAAGAAAGTGATTGATTGAGTGGTTGAGTGAGTGAGGCAAAAAGCGGGGAGCTGCATGCAGCATTCAAATGGACATGTGTCCAGACACCACCAACGGCCCTCGTTCGTGTGGGCGGAACCCACAAACCACAAATTATCGTTGAAAAGATACACAAACGAAGAAAATAAGTGGGGAAAACAGCGCGGACGCGTTTAAATATATTTTTTTTTTCTTCCTTCTTTTCTTCTCTTTAAATCCCACGTCCTCCACACGCCACCCATGGCCCCCCATTATTATTATCATCATTATTATTATTATTGGTGAAAATCACTGGAGTTCCCTTCACGCAACCACTTCTTCCGAGCGCCCCTGTCTGGGGCGATTGAGACGTCCCCCGCATCCCTCCCCAACAATAATAATAATCATGCACCAAACATAAAGTCCAAAATTACAAAAAAAAAAAAAAAAGAACTCACGTACAAAAATATTCGTGTTTTCCGAACAAAAACAACAACAAAAACAACAACAACAACAACAACAACCATAAAACAAAAATGTAGCGTTTCTATAAATATCGACATCGGGCGGACCGATGGAGCGAAGTACCCTCACACAAACAAAACATGTTTCTCTATATGTATGCGCTGTGGAGGGGGAGCAGGAAATTCAATAAAGAAAAACAACCAAATGCCTTGAAATGGAAAAAAATAATTATTTTCTTTTTTTTTTTTTTTTTTATTTATTTCACAAAAAAGAAGAAGAAAAAAGGACCAGAACATCACACGATGCAACCAAACTCGTTGTGGTTTTTGTGAATGTTCCCTTCGCCCATTCTCTCTCTCTCTCTCTCTACTCGTCTTCCTCGTGTTTTTCGTTTTCTAGCTTTTCTAAACTGTAAAAAAAAAAAAAAAAAAAAGAAGGGGAGTGTGTATGTAATTTTGTATTTAGCATACATAATACCCGAAAGTGCTCTATGCGGAAGACGCGGATGTCGCTTCATTGTGTGGTGGCGGTTCTTACGTGTATTATTCAGTGGGCATCACCACCACCGCCCAATCATACACAGCACAAAGGGACATACATTTGAAGCCATCCTCACATGTCACGACGCGCGCCCCCATTTGAAAATGAATTAAAAACAAAGAAGAAATGAAATTGTTGTGGTTCTATAAAATGTGCTCCACCTCCGTGGTGTCGTCACTGTCGTTTGTGTCGTCCGCAGCCGGGGCGGTGGAAGACTTTCGACGGTTCTCCTGCACCCTCGCTGCGCGCTCCGTGCATTTGATAAGCTTCCGCAACCGACGCGCCACAATCACGGAGTGTTCCAGTGTGCCCTTCATGGGTTTCGTAAAATTTGCTTCTCCACCAACTCCCCCATTGTTACCAAACCCCTCTTTCAACGCGGCGCCTCTGAGCAGATGACTCAGGGAAGCGCCTCGGCAGCGAAGGTGGTAAATGGTGTCGTTGCACCGTTTCCACGAAGAAACGGGAAATTTTTCAGTAGATGACAACTCATGCACAACAGGCAGTCTGCGATCAAACTCCACACATTCCTTATTGGCGATTACCATGCTGGATTGAAAGGACGACATACTCAGCTGCTCCGGATTCCTCACACGGCTCATGGCCACATACAACAGATGCTCACATGGCCACATACGGGAGAGTTCAAGATGCACACGCCCGACCAAAGTCAGCCCTTGCACCTTGTGCACAGTAAATGCG